ACTTGGTGGAATACTTGATCAACGATTCAAACAATGGCCACTTGGTGGAATATTTGATCAACGACGTCGTCCTATGCGGAAAGGAATTAATGAACTACGCGACATCTATTATACCACTAATACTAGTTAGTTTTCTTCGGTATACTAGTCATTTTGTATTTTTATTTTACAAAAAAAAAAAAATTATGTCCAATCAAATTATTAGTTTTTGTATCATTGAAGAAAATGAAAAGCCTCGACAAATCCAATAATTAGATTGAGTTTCAAGTTATCGAATTATCATATTGTTCATATCATCATGAATTCAGTTTGCTAATTACTACATGATAACAACTTCAACTTGTCTCGATGGATTAAAGACTGTTTTCTGCACAAACGAAGTGAAGGATTGAGAAATTGATACCTTCATCTTCTCCATTGCCGTCGAAAAAAAATTACTACATGATTGGTATCTTTCAACTAACTAGTGACGACATCTTGGCTCTTGACCACGTGCGTAGGAAATAGTCTTGTTGTAGTGTGTAGGATTACTATATTCATATTATTTTTAATTGTTATTTTCTTGTAATTGAACCTCTAGCCTCTCTCAATAAAGACGAAAGCACACTTAGGTGGGTCCAGTGACGAATTCAGAAATCCAAGTCAACACGGCTGAATTTAGATGAGCACGAGCTACCCTCTAATATAATAGAAAAAAATCACTAGAGCCAGCACGAGCGGCCACTTGTCCGATGCAATTTAATTGATTTTATTTTTATGTTTTTGGATATTAGATTTTCTTTCTCTTCCACTTAATTTTTATTATGTCAATCTTGATAAAAGACATGCAGACAGAAGTATTTAAATATAAATGGAAGACCAATTTTAGATTTGATCGTCTATTCTTTATATATTAATGTCATAACGACTAGAAATTCATCTATTTGTCTCTAAAGATCGCTTTCTTTAAAAATAGATATCACTAGCCCTAACTTGATTAGCTGATCGTCTATCGACTAGAAATTCGTCTATTTAAATGTTATATAGATTGCAATTCATGAAATGCATTGAAAATACTCTAAACAATTCTAAGACCAACTCCGGATACTCGTTTTATTAGTTCATGTTGTATTTAAACATTAAAAACACAATATTTCTACTGCATGTGTTTTGGTACGTCTTAGGTGTCTTACACAGCTAATAGTACTACGAAGGAATGTCGTGAAATAGTGTCGTCACAATGATGAAATTATTCTATCCTAGTTCACGGTGTATAGAATCTCTATATTTCTAATTTCTTTCTCGTGCATTCCGAATTGAATAGTAGTGTGCATGTCATGTCCAAGACTTGTTCAAAGAGTCACAATCATTTGACTGGCGGCTGCTGTGGAGTCAACTCGTGCTTGGGGTATGGTATGGAACCGGTGGAACACTGATCTTGTACATTGACTGATTCAAGTAGTCAAAAATTGATATTATTTTACATTGGCAACTAAGGGTGACGTGTGATGGTCATTATTTATTCAATCATACTACAAATACATTAACTTTGACATCAAGTTTGATATTGTACCACATGGCCACATCACATTGGACAGTTTTTAGAAACAACACCCTTTCCCGCCAAACACAATTTGAATTTACACATGGTGTCAAACCTGATGCCAAG